AGTCAATGCAAAGTCCCCATGAGGATAGAACAACGTGTGTGTGTGTGCGGGAGGTGTGGAGCGGAGCCACGAGCAGAGCGCTGTGTTAGGAGAGATGGAGACATGTCTGCGGCTGTTATCGTTGATGCTGCTGGATTCATTATGGAACGTGGAAACTTTGTGTTTCAGCGGGCGACCCCTCCCCTCGAACGATTGGTGGCACCAGTGTGACCGGACATTTTTTTTTTTTAGTCGCACTATTAGGAAATCAGGTCGCATTTGCGAACAAATTGGTCACACTCTAGAGCCCAGAGAACACACTGTGAAAGTGGTGATTCCATGATTTATGCCAATGGTTGTAGTTTTTATCATATGTAAACCACTGGACAACAAGCAGATAAATGAGGACCTATTTGGGGGTTCTAGAACAAGTTAGGATATATCTGTAAGAAATACAGGTTTTAATATCGGCTGACAATCAGATGAAAACACAAATGTTAAATAAAATGATCTGTAATGGGAAATAAATGTCAAACAACACCAGAATTCCGGAGTGGGGTTTGTTATGCCATCGGCTGACAAGTCAAAACCACACACTGAATGAAAAACAGGAAGTCCCCGGTTAAATACAGTCCAGGAATCTTCACTGCCTGARTTCKCCCTCTGCTGGCCTACGGCTGAATCACAGACATTCAGACAAAAAGACCTCACACTAATGTTAATACAGCTTTTAATTATGTGTTGTTAATAATTCGGACACCCTATTTCAATTAACACATAATAGATCAAACATTATAACAATGTTATAATAAGAAACCCTTAATTTACTGGTGTTTCTGAAATCAGTACTAATCTGTAATAATTATAATTTTTTTAATATCGACGGTGGGCTGTACAAAACATGTTCATATGATTTAATTCAGAAAATGAATCTCTGATAGTTAGATTTCACCTTTTCAGTTCTGCTTGTTTTTGTTGTTCTGTTGTTTGTTTTTGTTGTTCTGTTGTTGTTTGCATTAGCTCCGTCCTCCCAACATGGCTTTTATGTTAGAACTTCAGAAATGTAAAAATAATTGACTAGTACAAGCAGATGGTTTAACAGTAGAAGACAGGCTGTCTACAGTGTGGCCACCCCCCAGGGTTTGGTAGGGACAGACCGGAGCATCTGGCCGAAGTCAGGCACCTTGGTGCCGCGGAGGCCAGCCCGCATCCTTCGCTGCTTCCTGGAGCTGGCGAAGACGAACCGAGGGGCTCCTGTGTCACCAGCGCTGTGGCGCAGGAGTCTCCATACTGCAGCCTGGAGGCTCCCGTAAAACAAACACTGTGTTTTGTTTTGTTCGGGATAACTGCTTATTTTTATGAACKTTTTATGATTTATGATTAGCCTGAGAATAAAAACTATATAAAATGATTCAGTGTTGAACAGATACTAAAAGTAATATGAAAGATGTGATGTAAGAATTTACTGTCCATAGACTATGATCCTAACTTATTATTAGCTAACTTATTAGCTGTAGGTATACCCCCTGACTCTTATTGAATTTAACTTGTTTTCGACGTTAAAACTTTGTTTTTGGACGTAGAACCCTAATGGTACAACCAATTTCCTTCTGCAAAAGCCTCTAATACAATCACAACCTCCTACATGGCCCTTCTGCGTGCACATGGCCTGTGTTTGACCCAAATAATGTTTTCACAGCAGCGAGCAGCTTGTTTGAGACGGTGGATCACAGAACAGCAAATATTAGCCACTGTGACGTCAGCTTTCAGTGCTGTTCAAAACACATACCTGGACAAGTCGTACTCGGATTAGTTTTGTTCTCTTTTTTTTTTAAAATTAATCGTCTGTTGACCAATAATCCTTGCTTGAATTTTTTAAGATTTCTCTTTTTTGTCTTTAACAATTAGGTAAAACTGACTGAATTTGAAACTTTAGTTTTGCCTCAAGCAAGAACAGCATTCCTGATAAAATCTGTCATTTGCAGCTCACCAATGGCTGGCTAAGCCATTCTGTAAATGCGACACAGTCCAAGTTATTGCTAAATGTTTGCTGCCTTTCTGGGTAGCAAAATGACTCASTAATGTACATTATTATGTCACCAACAATCCACATTTTTTACTTTTAATCCGATACCTTAATCTTTGATATCCACTGATAATATTTTCATACCAAAGCTCTGTTTTTTATTATTATTAATGTCATTGTCATAGTCATCTTTCTTAATTATTTAAAGTGCCTGTGACATCAAATTTTTATAATAAATATGAACATATTTTTGGAAAAATAACATTGATGACATATTGTAAAAAAGATTTCATGCCGCCATGATGAACAGTTGTTGAGATATTCACATGTGAAGAAACAGGAAGTGATGTCAAAGGGGAATGTCTGAATGTAAACAGAGCATTGCTAAAATGGCTAACAGCGCAGACTGTAAAGAATAATCTGATGTTTCTTTAGATTATTTTAATCACTGTCATAGAGAGATGAGAGAGTCGTAGTTCAAATAGCATTGTTTCAATAAACAACCAGGGAGTTTTCTTTCTCAAAGAGTTCCCCTTTGATGTCACTTCCTGTTTCACTTTAGCTGAGCCGAATTCAAAAGAAAATATGCCAAATAWGTGACATAACRSGTCAAATCATATGTATTATGCCAAGTTTCTTAAATRTAAATATATTTTCTTTGAYTTTTTGTATTTCATGGAWATGCWTGTCACAGGCACTTTAATATTACTGGTATCATTGYTGAATTTATATAACTTGGAATACAWAGTACATAAACAGTAATGTTCATAAATACATGAATGAATTTCGCAAACCTGCATTCTTCACCTCAAACTGTAGTTTCACATTTAAAAATCGCAAGATAATCATTTTGATTCTAGCACATTGCAGTTGTATTTACTAAATACTAAACACATCTTAGTTATAGAATCAGAACAATTTAAATATCACAGATTTCACAGATCTCATTACTCACTCTGCTCTCTATCACCACCAAACTTCATTCAACATTAGCATCTTTTTCTTCCTCCTGCTGCAGAATTTGTGGCGCTTGACAAATAACTTCAAGTCTCAGTCAGAAAGGAGGAGATGGTTGTTTGAGTCAAGAGAAGGTTCAGACTGATAGAGACAGACTCATGGAGAAAACACTCCAATTCTGTGTCCCGTTGCTTCGCTTCAGCAACAACACATTTCAAAATGACCATTTACAAAAAAAATGTATTGGATATTCTTTATTATGTGTTTAGYTTTACTTGGCCTATCAACACAATTTAAAAACTGGTGTATAGTTCATAGTCTCTACTTTTAAACACAAGCTATGTTGTTGTGAAAAGTTGGGTTAAAACATGAGCAAACTCCCATGTACCCTCACGACCAGGATGAAAACCTCACTACTCTTCCTGAATCTGAATTTGGCTATCCAATGGAACCTCCTCTCCAGGATCCWTGAGTAGACCTTACCAGGGAGTGTAACTGGAACACACTCTGTGGTCCCCCTTTYTAAATAAGGGGACCACCACCTCGGTCTGCCAATCCAGGGGAACTGCATTTGTATTYCACTTTTCTTTTTACAACATCCATCCATTAAACCTGAACTAAAAATCAATATTTTGACATTTCAGTGTGTCTATCATCTTGCATCCCAATGTAATTTGGATTTTCTTTGAGTTAATTTGTATACCTGGCCTACAGAGACGGTGTACCTGTTTGGGGGCTGGGATGGCACACAGGATCTGGCAGACTTTTGGGCTTATAGTGTTCAGGAGAACCATTGGGCCTGCATCTCCAGAGACACTGAAAAAGAGGTAAGAAGRGCAACAAAATATTTAGCTTAGGACTGTAACTTTAAGGAATGTTTTTAATGTCTAGGTTATGCTTCAAGTTTAAGAAGTGCATCCAGTTGTAATGCTCATCTTTTTTCTGGTTATATCACACATTTCATATCAGTTCTCCCACTGAACATGATACTTAAAATTGAACAAAAACATTTGCCATGTTGCAATTACTGCAATGTGATGACATAATTTTGTGTGCGGTTCACTTTCACTATTAAGTGTGCACATGAACCCAGTGGCAGACGGTGGCACGAAGCAGCTAATGCTAACCCTTACTTTCTCCTTCAGTGAATGGTGGACTTAAACATAGTCAGCTGAGTATCCATGCTCTCTGTCAGTCTGTCCCATATGATAACTCAGGGTCATGGCTAAAATGAAGTAGTTGGACTGATGTATGTAGAATTTTAGAAAGTCATGAGCATGCAAGTGCAATCTAATATTGATTTGTCAAATTAATCGTTATTTGCTAAATGCTGCAATTACTTGAATCGTGATACTTTTTTTTGACAATATTGCCCAACCTTATTGATGCTGTTTACATGTAAAGCACCTCCATTAGCCTGTGTTCTCTCTACCAATCAGAATGGTCCAAGTGCTCGCTCGTGCCACAAGATGTGCATCGATTCTCAGCGACGTCAGATCTACACTCTGGGCCGTTACCTGGACTCCAGCGTCAGGAACAGCAAGTCTTTGAAAAGTGACTTCTACCGCTACGACATTGATGCCAACACATGGACTCTTCTGAGCGAGGACACGTCGGCTGAGGGGGGGCCGAAGTTGGTGTTTGACCATCAGGTAGACCATCGTTCTGTTACTCTCAGATGCTGAGCATCTAGGTTTATAACCTGACATTTATGACCCTTAGTAAAAACTTTGAACCAGACTCTAAAGTTTAGCAGCGAGTCAGGAGTTGCTTCCTGTTTGGGGATCTTTGTTCTGAATGTTCTCTAAAATAGTGTTTCCCAAAGTTGGGGAAAATCAAGGTGGGGTCCTGAAAAGATTTTGTGAATTAATGACATTTTTGCCTTAGTTGTTACAAAGGAGTG